GGGGGGGTGGGGATCCCTCGCCAGACATTTTCACGCGCGCGATGCATCCCAAGCCAAACAATCTCCATTATAAGCCGACACCTTTATCTTTGCCAAAATGTTGGCAGCAAAGCGTTGGTTGACAAAGCGAGGGCGGCGGCGCAGAAGGATAACTCACCGGGCATTCATCGCCGCACCTACCCAGGCGGGTTGCAGTTCATGTATCCAACACCAAAGACTGCGTAAAATACGTGGGCGCATCGCACGTAGCTTGCATACGTCAGGGTGTTTACGACGCCCAGTACTCGTGGGAGATTTGCTATCTAGGTCATCTTACGGGCCTTGCAGCATGGGTCCTGGCTGGAACCGACCATAGGGGGAGACACAGACACCACCCTCAGAACCTCTCGTTTTTTCCTAAAGCTCGTTTCTTATGTCATCTTTCGGGTACAGATAGCGCCCGCACTTAGGACTGAGCAGCTAAGAAATTGAGACTCGCAAAAAATCAGAAGCTAAGAACTTGAGCACCACATGTGAGCTCGGTGAAGAACCCCACACTAGAACCTATATAGCAGCCATTTGTAGCCCACAAGAGGATCATCAGCAAAACAAGAACCCCAGCCTCGGCCGAAACTAGAGGTTCTTACGTGTGGGCGCCATCTGTATATCCCCATATCACCTTCATTTGTTTAGGGCACCTGTGGTCATGGTCGAGCTCGCGAGTTTCGATGTTGTTGAGCCTGAACTTCTGAATTCCAATGTTCTCAACGGGTGAAGTGTTCCGTAATGTCTCACTGGCAGCCCTAGCAGCTGTGTATGTAGGAGGTGGCGGTGGTGACGGCGGCAATGGTGCCCGCGGCATAATAACTGGAATGCATGGAGCAGAACTTTGAATCGACAAACACACCCATGAGAAACGGGTCCAAGATGCCGGGAGGTAGCTTCAAGAAGAACACACAAACGACCCAAGAGCGGCGGCGTCACACATGTATGAGATGGATTCCCATGTAAAGCATGCTGCCACCACCAAAGCAAGACCGCCGTTCACCTGCAATGTCTTGGAAGCCGAATCTGTCCAAGACTTTCTGCCAGCTCGTCTTGACGGTCTCGGCCGTCACCGAAACGAAGCGAGGGAATGGTCCTAGAATCAGCATGTTCTCCACCTAATAGTAGCCGGGGAGCGGAAACAGCAGCGGCAGCGGCGACGGCAGCAATACCGTCAAGGGACGCGCAGGCGCGCGCGTTAGCACAGCAAGGGGAGCCGAGGCGCCAGAGGCAGCACAGCAGTCGAGCAGCGGACGCAGTTGGGACATGGGTGTTTATCCGGCGAAATTTGTTTGCGGCGAAATAGGTCAGTAACTCGTGGGTGGAACGGGCACAAGCGGCTGCCATGAGGGCGGCATCACGCCGTATCGCTTGGCTGCCTTTGTATACACAGGGACCACTATTTTTTACGGTCCCAACGATACTGTACCACTCATATTCGGAAATAAAGGGACCATTGGTATTCGCGCTTGTGTCCGAATGGCCCTCATATTTTCGAACTTTGGGGTAAAGCGTTCGCAGAGCCTGCAGGACTACTCACCTGTACAAATATAAAAGGGTTAACAGAGCCTGCAGGTCTACTCCACCCAACCGTTGCCACCTGTACTAATATGCAAAATAATAGCGTCAACAGAGCCTGCACGACTATAGACGCCTCTACTAATAATACCGCGGTAACAGAGCTTACAGGACTAATCCATCCAACCGTTGTCAACTGTACTCATAAAAGAGCGTCAACAGAGCCTGCACGACTACTCCACTCCAATGTCACCTGAATCAAGGCTTCGTCGAAGAGCCCGGCGCCGACCGCCTGAGCCCCGGGCCTGTTCTCCAGCGCCGCCAGCACGTCCTCCCTGTCCTCGTGGGAAATGTTAACCTGCATACATGCATACAGCAACACGTCGGCGAAAAAGAAAAGCTGCGCATAAAAAATTAAAATTTGAACCAATTGATGTATTTTCTTTGAGCAGTAGCACCTTCTGTCGGGCTCTCAGAGAGCTCCATTTCCGCTCTCTCGCCCTCTTACAGTCGTCGCACACAAGCAAAAAGAGAAACCAAAACAAGCGCCGGCAAAAAAAAGAAAAACTGCCGTCCCTGCTTTGATGCAGTATTAAATACCAAACCTCGTAAGTTTTGACTCGATGGGGATAGGCTCGCTCGGAATCCATACGAACATGCATATCAATAACAATACAAACGTGCCCAAGAACCTCCAACGGGCAACGCAGTAGTATCTAATATCCGTCTACAGCAGTAACGTATCTGTGCCTTGCTACTGGTGTATCTTCGAACCTGGTCAGGGGAGTCGACGGCGAGGAAGGTATCGAAGATTCTGCGGGCCTCCTCCCGTCTTTGAGCCGTCCCTTCGAACTGAGTACACCGGAAATTCATGCCATGCTTCCAGAACCTGCCCAAACAAAAAGGATTTGTCGTGTACCATGGGTATTACCATGGTATCTCGTGAGAAAAAATGTAGTAAGCGTGACGGGATGGATGCAAGCAAGAGAGGACTTTCTATCTGTCGGTTTGGTTGTCCTGAAAGCCGGAGAAAAACAGAGTAAGCGCTGATGGTGTCTGAGCTAGAAGGGGGTTAATTGGTCACGAACACGAGCCATTGCCGTGGGTGCGGAGGAAACTAGGTAGTGCAGGTCACTTCTACGAGAGATTTTTTTTTTCATGTGAGAACAACAAGTGTGTTACATGTTTACATAATCATGCACCCGACCATACAGGACTTCTGTAAATCTCACAGGAAACATGCGCGGGTCATCGTGCGCATACAACACTACCAGCAGTGCAGCGCACAAATCAACACAGAGGACAATGAGGGTTTTCGATGGTGCTTCTTCTCGGGGCGAGAATCTGGTGTCAGCTCAGTTCTCCTGCGCCAAAACAAGAGATCAAACAACAACTGTGACTAGGATTTGGAAGCTAGCATGGGAGCAGCGGACCTTCTCCCTCCCTTCCACTAGTTTACTTTGTTCCTCCCCGAACACCTCTCTCTCCTCCCCCTCACCAAAGGTTCTCGGCAGCATACTCCATCTCCAAGTGTTTGTCGAAGCCCGCTTCGCCGTTGAACCGGAGCAGTATCGCCACCGATGAGAACGCCGAGGTTAGGGACGGCGTCCTCACCCCGTAGTCCTTCCCGCAGTGGCGCCACCGCTGCAGGTTGAGGGGGGGGAGGGATGCGTACGCATGTGTTGCATGCCTCAGAAATTTGGCCACGCGTCTTCGAGGGACGGAATTTTGCGTCCCTACCGGTTGTTAGACCATTAACCACGCGTCCTCGGGGGGGGGGGGGGGGGGGGGGGGGGGGGGTTTTTTTTTTTTT